TAGAGATCTATAATGATATATAAAAAACGAATTTTTTTTTTCGAAAAAAAACCCACTTCATTTTCTTTAATGAAAAAAGTTAAGGTTTTTTTTTTTTTTATAGAAAAAAATTAATAAATATATCAAAATTCATATTTTTTATACTTTGAAACATATATTCATATTCATGTTAAAAAAAAAAAACAATATTTTAGTTTAGATTCATATTGTGAATCTGTTCAGATTCATATTGTAAACTTGTTCAGATTCACATTGTGAACCTCCTCAGATTCACAGTGTGCATAATAATAAGTCAGATTCACAGTGTGAACCTCCTTAAATTCACAGTGTGAATTTGAACTGATCGGAGTTTTTTCACATTGTGAATGTTAAAATTTGAAATGTTTACAGTTTAGATTCATAGTGTGAATCTACACTGATCGAGATTTTTTTTTTAATTTGTGAACCTTCTCAAATTCATAGTGTGCATAATAGTAATTCAGATTCACAATGTGAATCTGAACTGTTCAAGATTTTTCATATTATGAATGTTAAAAATTTAGATATTTACAGTTTAGATTCACAGTGTGAATCTACACTGTTTGAGTTTTTTTTTAATTGTTGTTGATGTTTATTAATAGAGTACAAAAGGTTAATATTTTTGGTATAATTATTTTTTTTTAAATAAACTTAAATATTGCAAAAGCTAAGAAAATTAAGTGAGTTTTTTTTTTCGAAAAAAAAGTTCGTTTTTTATATATTATCATGGATCTCTATGGAAAGAGGACGCAAAATTGTGAAGAACGGTATATTCAGTTTTTTTTTCGATAAAAAATTTGGCCTAAAAAAATTTAAATGAAAAAAAGAAATGAGTTTTATTATAATCTAGTACATGTGCGTTTATTATAAAAGCTTATAACCCTTCCTTTTGTCGTTGATCGCTTTAAATTCTGATGCTTTGAATTGGTTCCTTGATTAATAATGGTTTTCTATTGAACATTTGTTTATATATATATATATATATATATATATATATATATATATATATATATATATATATATATATATATAGGTTCGGGTGTTTAATGTATCTATTGTGTTATTGTATGCATAAATATTGACCAATCAAAATTTAAAATAAAAATAAATAATTAAATTAATCAGTGAGGGTTATTTAGTAATTTGATAAATGAATTCTATAAATAGTCCCTTTAATTTAGGGATTTATTTATTATTAACCATATTAAAATCCACCTCCACCGTAATCGGATCACACCGGGTGAACTAAATCCTAAATCCGACTCTTTCTTCCTCTCTGCATCGTAGGTCACTTTCCTCATTATCTACATCACCAATTAATTGTCCTCCTCGCCACTGCTTCTTCCGCCTAATACTATTTACAGTTTCTGATGAAAATCAATGGCAGTGGCTTAATCTTCGTCGATCAATGAAGCATACTCGCCTCTCCCCTATCTTTACTCAACTTTCATGTCAATTTGGCTCGTTTTCACTTCTATCGACCGGAAGGAGGAGGCGCGAATAAGAGGAGGTGCGATTTTGGGATGTGTCGATCGGATTTGAGAAGTGAAGAAGGAAAAAACGATGCTAGATCATCAAAACTTACATCAATTGCCGTTTTTAGGTTACGTCTACATTCAACTAGTTGATTACTATCAAGGTCCTAAATGTCTAGATTTTGTTTGTATATAAAATTTTGGATTTGAGCAGGATCGATGCTATCCTGTTAAAGCTAATTGTGTTTAATTGTTTGATTGCGTTGTGATGATATTAGAGCAGGTGAACAATTTGCAGTGGACTCCAGGCTTTGTGGTCGATGGGAACAACAGAGAAGGAAGAAAACGATGGGAAAAGGGAGGACCTATGGGGTTTGGCTAGACCAAAGGAAGAAGCAACAAAGCTGCGGTGACCTTCAGTGGGTGCAGATGGGAGTTGTAGGGCGGCAGTGGGTCATATAGGGTGGTCATAGTCATCATTTCCGTATGCTTTTTTGAGGTTTGTTTCTGTTTTTTTGTTTTTTTGCTTGTTTTAAACAGAAATCAATAGAGGGAAAAGATGGGTGTTTGGGTTTGTTATTTTTACAAGGAAGAGAACATGAAATTGGGGCTATTGACCATTGAAACAGAAAGGGGAAGGGGGAGTTACAGTTAAACAGGTGATCAGGGGGCTGTTTTTGCAGCCTCTTCGTTCTTCATCTTTTTTTGTTTAATTTTTAATAGTAATGGAAGCAAGAAATCAGTGGCTTTTGCTTGTGGAATTGGTGATGAGCAAGGATGACCAAGAGAGGGTTGTTGCTCTCTTTATTACTGGGAATTTTATCTATCTCTAGTGGTGTTCTTTGGCAGGAAAACAAAGGAGAAGAACATGGAAAGCTTTGGTTGCTTCATTTGACGGAAAAGAGTAGGAAGAACAATGGTGATGATCTCTTCTTTCATTGGGTATGTTTCTTTTGATTGGGTTTTACAAGTTAAGTAGATAAAAAAAAAATCAATTATCTTGATGATCGTATTGTATAGTTGTGAATTTTGATAGATATGGAGTACATTGTGATCTAAGGGAAAGAAAACATAAACGAGTGGTATAATTCTTGAGATTGAAATGAAGAAGATAAAAAGAATCATGAATTTCAATTCTGTTGGAATGGAATCATGAATTCTAATTCTGTTGGAATCTAAACTACAATTTGGTTTTGTTTTGACAGAAGTTGATGCTTGAAGAATGAACTGCAAATTTCAAAGTGATTCTAAGCATTCTCAGAGACTATTATTCTTACATGATTTGATTCATGACAACTATTTTCATTAAATGTGTAATTTCATGGATGATCAAGGAAAGAGGTATTCTTCTGATAAAATAATCTACAATAGAATGATAGGAGTATATATAATAACATATTCTGCTAGAATATTCAGGTCGAATAATATACATATTTTCATTCGTTATTAGTGAGTATTTCATTGTCATAGAATATTATATAAAGTTTTTACTTTTGTAAGAATGTAATGAAAATTTTGAAGTTGTATCCAAAAATGTGTTATTAGTTGGTATTGACATTCTTATAGAATATCATTATAATAGAAATATGTATCCTGAAATTCGTAGAGAATATGATTTTAACAGAATAAAATCGGGTTTAATTATAAAAATTACATTATAATTAAAATTAAAGTAATTAAAAAATTAAATTATAAAATCAAGAGAGTTAGTTATCCGAAAAAATATGGAATTTTCCTTTTTTAAATTTATCTCAATTGTCTAAAATACCCTTAGAATGAAATTAAATGATATTTTTCAATTATCTTTAATTTAATAATATATATTAATCACTTTCTTAACTTAAGTAAAATGATTGGTCCATATTTATGCATGCAATAATACAATAATTAGTTTAAATAAAATAACCTAAGCGCACACACACACACACACACACACACACACACACATATATATATATATATATATATATATATATATATATATATATATATATATATATATATATATATATATATATATGGTTAGGTTCATGTGAGACGGCCTAATTTTGTGAGACCGTGAGATGCATTTTTTAATATTTTTAATTTTTTTAAATTTTTTATAATTTTTTTAGTTAATTCAAGTTCTGAAAATAATATTTAAAAAAAGAATTTTTGGATTTTTCCATTTATTTTGCATTTTAAAATTATTTTTTAGAATATGTACAGTGTAATATTCTATTAGAATATTTCACGTATTTTTAAAAAAAAATGGGATTTTTTTTGTTTTATTTTTTATTTTTTTTAGTTAATTCAAGTTCCGAAAATAATATTTAAATTTTTTTTTAAAAAAATTTTCCATTTATTTTGCATTTTAAAATTATTTTTTAGAATATGTTAGTGTAATATTCTATTAGAATATTTCACGTATTTAAAAAAAACGAGATTTTATTTTTTATTTTTTATTTATATATTTATTTATTTTTAAAATTTTTTTTAGTTAATTGATGTTCCGACAATAATATTTAAAAAAAGAATTTTTGAATTTTTCCATTTATTTTGCATTTTAAAATTATTTTTTAAAATATGTACAGTGTAATATTGTATTAGATTATTACACGTATTTAAAAAAAAAAAAAAACAAAAAACGGGATTTTCTTTTTATTTTTTATTATTATTTTTTTTAAATTTATTTTAGTTAATTCAAATTCCGAAAATAATATTTAAAAAAAGATTTTTTTGATTTTTCCATTTATTTTACATTTATATATATATATATATATATATATATATATATATATATATATATATATATATATATATATATATATATATATATATATATACAGGTTCAGGTTCATTTGAGACCATTCTAATTTTGTGAGACCGTGAGATCAAATCTAAAAATAATTTTAAAATGCAAAATAAATAGAAAAATCCAAAAATTCTTTTTTGAAATATTATTTTCGGAACTTAAATTAACTAAAAAAAAATAAAAATAAAATAAAAAAAATAAAAAAAATCCCGTTTTTGGTTTTTAAAATAAGTGAAATATTCTAAATAGAATATTACACTGACATATTCTAAAAAATAATTTTAAAATGCAAAATAAATGGAAAAATCTAAAAATTCTTTTTTTAAATATTATTTTCGGAAGTTGAATTAACTAAAAAAAATAAAATAAAATAAAATAAATTCTATTTTTTTTTTAAAATACGTGAAATATTCTAAATAGAATATTACACTGTATATATTCTAAAAATAATTTTAAATGCAAAATAAATGGAAAAATCAAAAAATTCTTTTTTTAATATTATTTTCGGAACTTGAATTAACTAAAAAAAAATAAATAAATAAATAAATAAAAAAATTAAAAAAATACGTCTCACGGTTTCATAAAATTAGGCCGACTCACATGAACCTAACCCTATGTGTGTGTGTATATATATATATATATATATATATATATATATATATATATATATATATATATGTGTGTGTGTAAGAGAGAGATTTATTAGGATAAAAATTATGGCAAAATAGAAATCGTGACATAAAGTGGCATTAGCCATTTTCTTATTCCCCATTCCTCGAATCTCAGGCAAAATATGGATGAATCGACGGAAGATAAAACGAACGTCTCACCGCCACCGCAACCACCATACCCGGCTGACATCGATTTTTTAGAAAAAGTGAAACTCTTCGGCGGTGATTCACCCAAAGAATGGGTTGATAACGCCATCGGACACACACTGATCGCACCACGAATCATACTCGGAGCCCTGGAATCCGCAATTTCTGCAACTACATTCCGCCTTCGTCAAATTAAGTCGACTTCCACTGCTCATCTTATTACCACATTCGTATGTTTCTCCTATTTTTATTGTTGATGATGTTCTTATGAATTATTACTCTTCTTGTTGCGCTACATATACGATATCAAAAAATGAAATATTGGATCTTTTAATTTAAATTCATCGGTTTGAACTTTGTATTACCAAACAACTAGGCTTTGTCATTATGATATTAACCCTAAATGATTTGCTATAATTTGTAGGATTCCCTGCAAGATTTGAAAACAGAGTTTAATGTTTTTGAGGATATTATGCTTCAAAAGATGAAAGGTTTGTTAAGCTAATGGCTGATTATTGTCATTATTGACTTTTCTTCTGTTTGATTTCCCATTTTTTGGCTTCAAATTAAGCTGTTAACATTAATGGTGGGTTTCAGAGAGCTTTTGCTTTGCTGTTGCACATCCATTTGCTACAAGTGGAGTTGTTTTTGCTTCGGGGTTTCTATCTGCTAAAAGTAAGGCTCATAAATTATAATATTTATTTACTTTAAATCCTTAATTGCTGAATTTAATTTCGATATTCTTAAGGAACAAGGCGTGGTTTATACTACAATACCTTGCGTCTTTTTCTAAGTGAAGAGGTAAAAATGTAAATCTTCAAAATATCTTTTTTTTTTTATTATTATTATAAAAAATAAAAAAATAACAATAAATGAAAGTACGTTGCTATTTCATGTCTTTTTGTAAACAGGCGATGCTTTCTAGAGCAACTGCTAAAGCTCAGAAGTTACGTGACTCTGTTAGAGAGATTACAGCAGAAGGGCAAAAACTGGAGGTGTTCAAAAAGATAATTTTTTTAATAAATTTAAAAAGATTTTTTCCTAATTTTGCTAATTAAAAAAACAGTATGAACGAAGGTAAATGACCATTTAAACCTTTTGTATGTTTGTGAATCGAATTTGTAAACGAGTTAAAATTAATAATTAGTGAAATGTTTAAGTGAAAAGTATTTGATATAACAAAATATATAAGTTCATTCTGATTCATAATAGCTGTTTCATAATTACGTTTTAAGTTTTTCATGATGTCACGATTACATATAAATATATTCTTATATTTATGCTGTTGTATTAAATATTTTCATATTATTCCTTAAATCTTAATTTTAACATATTTCAAAGAGTAAGTTACATTTTTGGTCCCTGAATCTATCTTGCTTTTGCAATTTTGGTTCAAAAGATATAGTCATTTTATCTGGAATAAGGATAAAAAAGATACCAAAACCTCGAATAAGGACTAAAATTGGAAGAATGTTTTTTAGGGACCAAAATTGAAAAAAAAATCAGTTTTAAATGGGACCAAAAATGTAATTTATACCATTTAAATATTTCATTCAATCAATTAACTTTTATTAACCACTAATTTTAACTTACACATCAACATTTAAAAATCATAACAATTTCCACATCGATATATTTTTTTTCCAGCAATTTACATTGCGTGCAGAATCAGAGTTGAAAAGGGGAAGAAAAAAACTTAGGTTTGTATTTTTAATAAAAAAATATATATAACTTTTATTTATAGACTTATCATGGCTTTTTTTTTTCTTTTTTTATTTAAAAAAATTTGTAGACAAACCGGAAAGCAGATCCAGGGGGTCATTAGTTCAACTTATAAGATCGAAAGACAATCAGGCGGTATGAAATTATTAATTACATTCTTTTTTTTTAAATGACTAAATACAAAAAATAGCAACATAATTCCATTTCTTTTCAATTACAAATTTTGTAATTTCAAAAGTTTCTTATTCAGACATTATACTTTGCAAAATCTACCTAAACAAATTAATGAAAGTACATTGCTATTTCTTGCATTTAACTTTATTTATTTTAATCGTGTCAGGGTTGAAAGATATACTCAAGGAGCTTCTAAAAAGGGACGCATCACAATTTCGATCAGAAGTACGTGCACAATTTTTTTTTTCTCATTACAACATTGTACTTTGGAATTTTTAAGTTATTAGAATATTGTCAAAGTATAATGTTATAGTAAGATAAATAGTGAAAGTGCAATGCTATAAGTAGGTAGTAGATTTTTACAATGTTCTATTAAGATTTAAAAAAAATAATAAAAATAAATAAATAAATAAATAAATAAATAAAAAATTCAATGTTGGAATAAGAAGAAATGGAAGTAGGATGCTATTATGTTTGCTAATTCTGGCATGTATAGAAGTGTCATCTAATTATGTTGAATATATTGATTTTTAGGTGTCGGAATTGGCTTTTGAAGCCATGAGAGAAAGGAGGGTACTTAACAGAGAGGTTAGAAAGATATCTAATTATGGGATCCCTATTTAAATAACGGTGTATTTCCATTTATTTGTTTATTATAGCGTCTTACTTTCATTTCTTTTTATTATAGCATTTTACTTTTCAAAAAAAAAAAAAAATTACCCATTTGAAGAATATATATTTAATTATAGCATTGTAGCTTCAATTTTTTTTCTTCTTATTGCATTTTCAAAAAATCTACTTATTTGCATCACTGAAAATTGTTTTGTATTTGGATAATACCGCTATACTATGTGGAGTTTTCAAAGTATAAGTGTTGTAATACTATAATATGAAGAAATGAAAGTAGGGTACTATGATATACACATTTGAATGAGTTTATGTGCTATTTCTTGGAGTTAACCCTTTAAGTTAATAAAGAAGTTTAAATAATAAAAAACGTATATATGTAATCCGACTTATATGTAGGAAACGTATATAAAATCAAATACAACTAATTATTAAAAAAAAACATTATGTAAAATGTACACAGACTCAAATTTATTCTGACACATAAAGAGAAATGTATTTTTTTTAAAATTAACGAACAAAAGTTTTCAATTTATGTTGAAATGTTGACCGTCTCGGACTTATAAAAATAAGCATGTATAAATTATTATTATTATTATTATTATTATTTTTACGAACGAAAGTTATCAAGGAAAATCAAATTATGTGTATTACGGAGATGAAAAATTAGAAAATGGAAGGGACGGAAGTGATATTTTATAAAGTTCAAAGTCGAAGGTTCAAAGTAACTTTGGGGTTGAAGTTGGACTTGAAGCCCTATCAGTTCAAATTATAAAAAATGAGTTTTTTATACTATTTGAAATAATGTCGATGCAAATGTGTAATGTATTTGTTTAAAAGTAGCAAATATGAAAATCTTGAAACAAAAAAGCAAAGGGTTGAGAACAAAAATTATTGAAAATCTTGAAATGAAAAAGCCAAAGGTTTGCATTTCCTTACCACATAGCAACATCATCTAACCCACGGTATACTTACAAAATATATGTAGCAACAACAAAACAGGGGCTAAATAGTCAAAAGTTGAATTGAAAGGAAGGAAGTCATGTCACACTAAGACACTCCAAGCATAAATTGCCAAATCTAAAAAAATAAAGCTTACAATAACTTACATTAATACAATAAAAACTGTATAATTGTTTGAATTCGACCAATTTTCATTAAAAAAAAAGATATAATTAAATAAAATTTTAATTCTTACCAATAAAAGCAATCTCGATAACCTAAATCAACAATAATAGTCATACAAATCTACCTTTAAGCATTTGGAAGATGACGAATATCAGCAAAAGTTTTCATTTGTTTTTTTTTTTTCAATTTATATACATACATATATATATATATATATATATATATATATATATATATATATATATATATATATTAATACCTTATCATGTAACTCGGTTATTCTTTGTATAACTCTGACCATTTCTTGAGCTGAATCTTCATCTTTATTTTGCCTTAAATTTTTCATCTCTTAATTGTTCCTGCCAACAATTTATAACATAAATTTTAAAAAGTTGTGACATCCATTTTGTATTTCGCACCACGCAACCCTACATATCTTCAACTGGCTCACAAAAAGTTCATATCCGTAGTTAGCAAAGATTGGAGGTCTTGACCATGTCTCCTTAAGTGGGAAAGCGAAAAAGCAATCAGTTTAACAATATAATTAGTTGACTTTGACCGCAATTTTATCTACCAAAAAAGGTGAAATAAGGCATACATTAAGATGATGAAAAAAAAAAACATGAATTAAGGGTTAATTTTATTGTCAGTTGTATTTAAGTTTAATTCCAGAAAAAAGGGTAAAATGGTCATTAATTGTTTCGACATTCAAATGTTGCAATTAAGTATCTACCTTCAATTAATAATGAACAAAAAAACATCAACTTTTGAGTTATAAAACTGCAGAACTTGAAATGTTTCTTTAGCTGCTAATACAGGTATGGTCACCTTTCATAGGCTTTGAGTTTTCGGTTTAATTCCTGCACAACCCAAGCAACAACAAATTAGATTAATTACCAGCTATAGAAATCATTTCCTCCTACTAACTACTAAAATCATAATACCTATAATTAGAAAAGTATATAAGAAATTCATAGAAGCCGATAATGAAAATATTTACCTCAGAACCGGAGAAGCAGAAATCAGAGCCAAGAATAACAGTTACACTTCTGATTCGGGAGAGGCTTTAGTATCCGAGGGTAGTTTCGGGATTTGAGATTCTTCCGGTTGACTTTGCCAAATCAAATGAAATTTCATCAAGTGTTGACTCGAGTCTGTGTACACGAGACTCCAATGATCATATCCCATTCTGTGAGCTCCGAATATATTTCTGTAATTTAGGTTGGAGCAACAGAGATATGAGAAAGAGTTTATTGGTTGGGTTAATCTAAATTCTAAAGTAACAATGAAACTGAAATTACCTTGAGGAGATCGAATAAATTGGACTGTTGGGTTTTGATTGGAAGAAGCTGATTGCGGATCACATATAAGTCCTCGGATTCTTGTTGGATTAAGTTGATACTGTAGCTGTCAATGATCTCTGCAACTTTAGAGCTTGACCTTTCTTCATGATATAGTGATTCGTGAATTTTTTCATCTGAAATTTCATTGAAGAGGACGTGTTTCGTCATTGGTTTAAGCTTGAGATGATCTTCATTGTTAGAGACAAGAATTGGAGGCAAAGAAACTGCAATGTTTAGTTTCTGATCATTTGGCTTCTTCCGATCCAGCTTACGAAACATTGCAGGATCACTTTTCCTGTTGCTGTTCTTGAATGAATTTCTACGAGTAGTACTGCTGGTGGAAGAACCAGTTGACTTATGAACAGTTTGAGGTGTTCTTAGTGGATATCGTACATAACTGACAGCTTCTTCTGTCATATCACAAATCAGAAATTACATCATTTTGGGAATTCGGATAATTATTATCATCAACAAAAAATCACATACATAAACACAAGTATATAGATTACAAGTGAGTAGGAACTAAGATTAGAAAAGTTTTTACTAACTGATCAGAGTTTTTTCAATTAATTTTATGCTAAGTTAAGAATTTATGTGGAAAAAACTGTGATCAGGAACGCAATTTTAATTTAACAAAATATATGAATGAGATGCGGTGATCTGATCTTATTGCTAAGTATTAGTTTTTCAGGAACCATGCATATATGTATTTCAAATTTTAGAGGAATAGTTCTTCATACCTTTAGAAGATTGTGATTAACGGGTTGGTGATACCTGCTCAAGTACATCTGGAATTAAATTCCAAGCTTCCATCATCTGATTCATCGTCTCCCTTACAGCTTTCAGCTACAAAATAATATTATTACTCAACGAAAATCCACATAATTACCACTTAATTTTGATTCATAGATTAGTATTATACCTTATCGAACTTTTTTGCCTCAAATGTTTTCAAGCACAAAGCCTTGAACTCCGGCAACTAATTTGTCTCCACCAAAGCCAACTTCTCCACCGCCTCTGCTGCTGCCTTCCTCGCAGTCCAATCCTCAGTTTTGACCATGAAATGAACCATATTTTTAGGGGAAAAAACAATCGATCTATTTATGAGAATCTATTTTCAGGAAGGGAAAAAAACTTACCTGCTGCAATGGTGGTTGTCGAGGCCAACACAAATAGTAACCCTAAGTATTACACACTAAAATAGTGTATAGTGGTAAAGGGATCGAATCCATGGAGATTGGTTCAATTTGATAACTCTATGAAAAATCTCTTTGTAAAAATACTTGTGAAATAACAATAAAAATAAAATGGGGGGGGGGGGTTAATGTTTTGAAATACTCGAAACAACTAGAATTAACTATGATTTAAATAGACAATTGCAACAAAAATAAGAATTTGATGTAAAATCAATAAGGGAAAGATGGTTGACTTGAAGTTTTCTCACTTTGACTTTTGATGAACATATCATTAGAATCCAATAGTGCAATACTTTGATTTAAATCCTTAATTTGGTTATAGTAATCCAAGGAGCTTGAGATTACCTAGACTTTTCTTAATTGTTGAAATGGCTAGAGAAGCTCATAACAATTTCCTTAGTCAAAGTCACTAATTCCAAATAGCATGTAATTAGTGAAAGTCAACTAGCATTAAGAACCAAAAAATCACCAAATCCAAGAGGAGTCAATTGCTTTCACCACCATGTTGGAGGAAATGTTTTTATGATTGTGTGAAGCAAAAACAACACAAAAATCACTTGTTGCTTGCTAATTTGAGGATCATTTACTTAATCAAGAAATTAGCCAACTAATCACCACAAACATATTTAAACTCATGAATAAAAACATACTAGTAGTGATAATATGATGAAACACAAAACATTTCCATAAAGATTCAAGAACAAGTTCATAGATTCTTCAACATCCAACAAAAGTTCAAAGGATTCAACAAAAAGTCAACCAAGATTTGTTTAGCCAAGCATGGCTAAACTCAAATGAACAAAGTTAGATAAGATTGTACCAAACATTTGACAAGATTCAAGAGGTGAAAAGAAGATGTTCTTCAAGTGTTCTTGGCCTCCAAAAGTGCTCCAAACTCCAGAGAGAAAAGCTCAAAATCGGACCTCCAAGATTATCCTAAAGAGGCACACCAACCTTCCCAATATAGAGCTCTAAGCAAAATCCCAAAATTGCCCTTGTCAAGAATCCACGCGGGCCGCGGGTAATCTTACGCGGGCCGCAGGTACTGACGGGAATTTTTGGGCTTCTTCAAGTCTTGGGCCCCCACAGCTAATCCATTGGCCTAGTTCGAGTCCAATCAGCTTCTAGCCCATTTTTCTTCAATGTTTCTTCAATTTGAGCCCAATTTGTCTTTCCACATCACTCAAAACTTCCGCAAACTCCCAAATATTGATCTTGCATACTCAAGAATTCTCCCGTATCTTTCAAATTTAAAGCTCAATTCTTCCAAGCCTTCAAGCAATTGACAAGTCCACCCCATGAATCACCTTCATAGCCATCAAGCATGAAATCTCCAATTCCCTTCAAGCCCAATCGCCTCCCAAGAGTGCCGCCCCGCTAGTTTCCAAGAAAAATCTGCAATAATGCTCAAGAAACTAGAAAGTACGCCGAAATGGTCATAAAAATAACAAAAAGGGAAAATATGCATGGAAGTTAACTAAAATGCGAATGAAATGTACTAAAATAAACTATAAAAAGAAGTAAATAAAATGAAGCTATCATGCAACCGGAGGTCGACGTCGTTGCCGGAGGCGGCGAAGTTTCCGATGATATCGTCAATCGAGAAGATAGCAGGCGACTGCAGATCGAAGAGGTGGAAGGAGAACAAATTTTATTTAAGGCTTCAATCAGTCTAGGGCTAAAATTAGTAGTAGAAGATGGACCTTACCTGAAGTAGATGACTTCTAACCACAGATTAAGACAGACTAATACATGGTGGAGGTTTCGACTCCAAATTCACAGATAAAAAGAATACATGGGTGATGTCTGTTGGAGCGCGTAACCTCATCTAAAGAAACGGGATGTAGGAGAAAGTGAGTATATGTTTTAAAGCTTCGTGTACATACCAGATTTCTTTCCTTCCTTTGGTTCCTGAAAGTCATGTATCGAGTTTGTGGTTGTGGCTGATGACTGTTATAGAGTCCGAAAGAAGGTCAGGGCAGAGAGGAGTGGAACTGGAGAGTGATCGTCTCCAAAAGACTGAAACAAATACAAAGCGGTGGAAGCAAGCTTATGTGATTAGGTGAGGGAATGGTGATGGGGCGAGGGAACGGGATAAAGGATAGAGCTGGAATCGGAAGAGATTGGATAAGGAGGCGGTGGGAAGGATCCGAAAACGGATAAACCAAACGATGATCAACACGTGTATACAAAAATGTAAATATTTCCATAAAATACACACAGGTTCACTATTCATAAAAAGTGTCCATATTTAATATATATATATATATATATATATATATATATATATATATATATATATATATATATATATATATATAAGAATTCTTTAATGATAACAAGATAGGTGTAGGATGTGGTGGATGGATATCGAGGTCCCTTATCACATATCACAAATAATAGATTTTTCATCTTGCTCTTAACTCTTTTCTTATTGAACTCCAACGATTTCATATATAATCCCATGGGTAATAGGTTAACGATATTAATAATCAAGTGGAAGAGACGACTAGCATATGATCCCTTCAAACTTTACAATAAAAAAAGGTAATTCACAGTCAAAACCAGGTCTTCAATTTGTATGAAATCAATACATAAGCTTAGAAGTTATCGAACATTATTCTCCATTGACCATGGTAGCTTGTGGCAAGCTGCTCTAGGTTAGCAAAAGAATGTTAAGGAATAAAGGGTTGACTTATTATTTATTTTTAAGAAATGAAGAACCGGTGAACTTTGACAACGACTGTTTGTCTTCATTAATCTGTAATCGAAATTAAACTAGAATATTACCTATCACAAAAAATCTACGAGTTTTGAGGGGGAAGAAGACTGAATTGAGAAGGAAGGGAATCGTGCAATTGTGGGAAGGGGATGGGGGGGGGGGGTATTTTAGTAAAATTATGAAAGAATTTTAATTTATATATATATATATATATATATATATATATATATATATATATATATATATATATATTAATATTAATTTTTTTTAATCTAATTAAATTATGAATTTGGATATAGATGTGAGTTTTATAGTTTGAAAAGGATATATATATGTAATGTAAAGTTTATAAGGATATAAAAGTAATATTAAAAGTTTTTTTAGATATAATAATGAAAACTAAATTCCGTTCTAAGTTTTTTCATATTTTTTGTATTCATTTTATTTTATATTTACTTTATTTCTTTTGTTTTCGTTTGTTTTTAATTAATTTGATAATTTTTTTGATCTTTTTTTCAAAAGCTGTATGAATATATTAGAGTATATAATAGTTTTTGCCTTTTGATTTGTTTCTTCTATGTTTTTTTTTTGTAATTTTGGTTATTTATTGTTTTTCTAATGTTTTTATTTTTTTTATTTTTATTCTAGTAAATAAAAAAATTATAACTTTAAAAGAATAAAAAAAATTATAACTTCAAAAGAATCAAATATATATATATATATATATATATATATATATATATATATATATATATATATATATATATATATATATATATATATAAAGAAAAAAAGTTAGATGAAAATTACAATCATAAATTCATTGAGAGTTCAAATATGAAATTTACTCATTAATACAGTTAAATCATAAAACTCTTAGCTAGTGCTTGGTTTTGAGCCAAGCCAAACTGCCTTTCTTTTGGTTGGCTGGTTTCAAGGCATAGCTGTTGCGTTTTCTTTTTCCTGACAATGGTATCATCCACCGTTTCTATTCACTAATTAGATTACTCCAGCAAACCACAACCGACTCCAACCCCTTCCAGTCATTCTCTTTTCTTTCTAGCAAATTATTTCCACCGACTTTTCCATTTTTCATTCCTTCTTGCTTATACACCTCCAACGGCTTCTCTATTACCTAATCACCTTAGGTTCTAACACCAGTTGCGGGTTTGGGGTGTACGATGATGGTGGTTCCAGTACTCCTCTAATTTTGGTTGGATTCCATTAACCCTCGAATTTGCGTCTTCTCTGCTGTTTTGTTCATCTTATCTTATCTTTATCTCCTCCCGGATCCATGAAAACAACAGTTCACGTCTCTGGTGAACTTCAGACATCGGTTCTTCTTGAAATTTTTAGCCATTTTTGGAGCTTATTTAGAAGAGATAGGTTCGTTTCTTTACTGGGTTTCATTTTTTGAAAGTGGGTTTCACTCCTTTGAAGCTTACCATCACATCAACTAGATTGGAATTGGAATTTATAGGTTCTTACAACATGATGAA